AGAGAGAGAGAGAGAGGTACGAGAAGGAGAGAGAGATTTGTATGTCACCAACGAACCAGTCACAAACAGCTATCCTATGCGAATGCAAGAGGAGACGAAAAATCCCCAGAACGAAATAGTCTAACCGTCGGTTTACCTTAAATCCGAACCTTAAATTCTAACCTTCAATTTTTACTTTCGTGGAAAAAAAAAGAATTAAAAAATTAAAAGTTAAAAAAAAATTAAAAAAAATTTCCCGACCTGGGGGGGCACCACCGCCAAGGCGGGACAGCCAACCTCTTGGTCGACAGAAGAATCTAATCGCTGATCAAATCGGCATTATTTCAGCATGTGAAAAAGATGCAACTATCTTCATTTTGTTATACTACTTCTGTGCTGGGTTAGAAACGTGTAAATATATATATATATATTTGTACTTATTGAGATACTTTTTAGATGAGCGTTATACCGGTACCTACCGGTAAGATCGGTCCCATGCGCCGACCAAGCGAGGAGGAGAGTCCACCACCGCCCCTCTCCCTCTCCTACGGTAGCTGCACCAGTCAAGCAACAAGCAGGAAAGGTGCTTGCTTGCATGTTTGCATGTTTGCTTGTTTCGCTTATTTACATTCTTCCATACAGTCGCAAAGCTACTTACCAACTTACCTCCCTCTTCCACCTACGTCAGCAAGCTGCAAGTACCTACCGGTACCTACCCGTCTTCAGAATCGCTGGCTCGTGCTCCCCGCTGCCTTTACGTACGACCATACCGGTACCTAGGTAGGTACGACGGGCTGATGGTACGGTAAGGACCGGTTTCGATACCGATCTCGGTATTGGTTTATATACGTATTAATATATACCTATACCTCTATATATCAATCATGTAAGAATTCATAGCACTGTAAATAAATAAATACCTCTCTAGCTAGCTAGCTACCTAGATAGATAGGATAGAACAAGCGAGGAACATAGGAAAACCGGACTTCCATTACTAACTAAGTGTAGAGAAAGAACCCCCCCCTCAAGATACCTAGCTACCTACCTACCTACCTACACACATACATACATACACACACTTTCTACAAGCCATCGACTTTCATCTCACGCTTCTTTCCGTACGGATTGTATGTGATGAATCCCGTCATTTCGTATCGATCTACCGTACATGACGTTCCCCCCCCCCCCGGCACCTCTTTTTTTCTTTCTTAAAAAAAAAAGTTAAAGGTTAAAGTTGAAGATATCAAGATATCTATCTAAAGCAGACAACTTAAAACCTAACCTAACCTAACCTAACCCAACCTAACCCAACCCAACCTAACCCAACTAAAGTACCCAAGCCGAAATTCCCCATCCATCCACCCATCCACACCTACCTACCTACCTATCCCATCCCCACCCCCTCCCCAAAACACGAGAGTCGCTGTAACTAAGGTAGGTACCGGTAGTGTACTCCCTCCCCCCTTAGACCCTTTCACCTCGTTATCTCTTCCCTCTCGCGATCCCGGCCAAGAAGAGAAGGAAAGAAGAAAGAAAGCAAGCAAGCAGAGAGGAATAAGATATACACAAGAAGAGAAAGCGCAATCAAAATCCGGATGTACATGCATCCATTATACACATACGCAGATCTGCCTCTCCACCCAATCAAAAACCCCATCCGAGCGCCTCAAAAGCAGTAATCCCTCAACCCGTCACGCGGAAAGCACGCCCCCCTCACGGCCGCCGATAATACTCCCTCCTCCTGCCGCCCCCACCCTCGTCCTCGATAACCACCCTCTCCCTCTCGACCACCCTCCCACTGCTCACCCGCGGGTGCGTCTCGTACGTGATACTCCTGCTCCGCCTCCTCTCGGCGCGATCATCAGGGCGCGCATCCACCAGGTACCCACTCCCCGGGACGTAGCGGAACGTGTCAGGCGGCGGCGGCGGCGTCGGCGCAGGCACCATGCGCTCGCGCACCCGCTCGCGCTCGATGTACACCTCCTCGCCTCCGCCTCCGCCGCCGCCGGCGCGGCTCCCGTGCCGACTGTGCGAGCTCTTCTTCGTGCCGGCGTGCGACACGCTGACCCTGCTGCTCCGCGCCGAGCCGGGCCGGCGGAAATCCTCCTCGACGCTGACGAGCTCGATGCGCGAGGGGGAGCCGGACGGGGTCGGGGGTTTGGGGTCGGGGGGAGCCTCGATGGGTTTGGGGTCGGGGGGAGCCTCGATGGGTTTGGGCGCTGGGGGCGGCGTGGGCGTGCGCCGTGAGGGAGGGGAGGGGGGTGGAGGCGGTGCCTGGATGTATTGGACGGAGGCCCGAGGGGAGTGGCGGATCACCGTCTCCGTTACGATGCGGCGACGCGGGCGACGGTTCGCGAAGACGACGTCTTCTTCCCATCGCGGTTTTGCTGCGGCGGGCCTCGTCAGTCTGGTTGGTGCGTCTGGAAGGGGGGCGACGTACAGCTGAAACACATTGTTATTGCGCCGACCGCGATCCTCCTCTCGTCGCAGGCCGTACGTAATGGTCAGAGACGTAGCGATGTATGTAGATATATATCGTGTGTTAGAGCCCTTCCGCTCTGCTCTTCGTTCTCTTGGGCAACGATGGCCGGATATATCGAGTGTCAAATGTCAAATGTCAAGCGTCGAGTCGCACAGCACAGCAAAGCGCAATTGTCCAGTAACAGTAACAGTAACAGTAACAGTAACAGTAACACCAGCAGCGCGTCCGTCGTACATGGCGGAGCAGAAGGGGGGACAGCAGCGAATTATATCCCCCGATCCAGAGCGGCAGCGAGCGCCGAAGCCCAAAAAAAAAGGCCCATCACCATCCAGGATTGTCCGAGTTTTGGTGGGTTGGGCACGATGCCTGATATCTGATGACTACTGATGACGAGTGCCCGAGTTGCCCTGCGCTGCCCTGCGCTGCCCTGCCCTGCGCTGCCCTGCCCCGCGCTGCCCTACCCGACGGGGAACTTCCTTGGTGTTGTCGCCCATATCCGTCTTGTGTTCCTTCCATGACTCCGGGCCAACCCAGATTCCGAGTCAAGGCTTCACAACCGAAGGGTGGGGCATTTGGGCCGAAGTTGGGTAACTTGGGTTGCCATTGGGCTGCCACCGCCCCACGGCCGCTGCGACCTGGGATGCCCTTGCGCTGGGTATATGCACACGTGATATGCATCGCGCAAGGCTCGCTACGGGACGGGGATAGGGGTGGGGTGTAAACATGGATAAAGAGTGAGGCGAGTGGCGAGAAGACATAGCAGGAATAGTTGATGATTATGCAGATATAGAGTATAGAGTATAGAGTATAGAATATAGAACATAGAATATAGAATCAGGCAAAAGATAACAAAAAGCAAATCACAAGATCATCATCCTCATCATCATCGTCACCATCGTCATCATGTTGTGGCGCGGGAATAGGGGCGAAAGTAGACAAACCACGGCGTTGCATGGAATCTACCTATCTCAGCACCAATCTCGCTTTCCTCTGACTGTTTCCTGACCCGTCCATTCTCCCATGGTTACCCTCTACCAGATCTCTAAATCGATCCCCGCAACCCCCGTCAGCTCCTCGACAAAGCCCGCTAGAGCCCTTGCGTAGCTAGTTCGCGTCCACGTCTCAGCCTGGTAGCGGACCCCCATACCCTGCGCATTGAGTAGTACTGCCTCTACCGTCTCCTCCTCGACCGGTTGCATTACAACATCGCCCTCCCAGTCGTACTGCACAGTCCCATCATACGAATCCGGGCCAGCAAGCGGAATCGAGGGCCCCAGCATTTCAGGGGAGGAACTGGCTGCATCAATCATTTCCAGATCACCAGATCCATCAGTAATACGGACGGTGCCATCACGGACAACTAGAATCTTCTGCACAGGATGACTCTGGCCGTCATCGACCCGCCAAACCTTCGCGCTTCCCGTCCGGGAGAATGCCCAGACCACCAAGTGTGGCCCAGAATCAATCGCCAGATCGACGAGACCCTTGCATGTGCCGATCCGCTGGCCTTCCGTTTTGACAGGCCACACGCTCTTGCTTGACATGTCAGGGACGGGATCCTGGGTATTGCTCAGCCACTGCTGTAACCCATCGTTCGGCCACCAGTTCATCCACTCTTGCTCAGCCGGCGCCGCCTCGCGGGATGAAGAGTTACTGAGCCAGGCTGCGGTGGTAGATGAGGCGGGTTTGGCTTGACCGCATGTGAAGATATCGAAAGGCACTGAGAATAGCCAGATACTTTGCTCGTCCGATCCCGTATCAAAAGCAGCGACTACGCGAACGCCATGAGATAGGTCGGATCCGGCTGTATATGCCACTGGGGTTGCAAATTTTCCGTCGAGGCTGGGACAACAGAACCAGATCTTTCGGAGTAGCTTGGTAGGGCCTCCCACCGGGGCGTCGCTACCCAGGCACAGCACTCCGGATGCTGGATCGGTAAACAGGATATGATACCCCTGGAAGTTTTGGTCAGCCACAGGCACCAGGAGGGGTTGGGATTATTGAGGAAAGGCCTACATCGCTCAAAGGTGTTGCCCGGTAGTGATCCGAGCAGTCCATTCGGCCAACAAGCGAGCTCCTGCTGGCGTCAATCCTCAAGCGAGTCAATATTCCCTGGGTTTCCGAAGGGCTGCTGGCCCCATATGTCTCGTTATCCTCCTCAAACCGAGATAATCCCCAGCCAAATCGCTCCCAAAAAGGACTCGAGCGTGGTGACGGTCCGAAAGTACGTCGTGACATGGAACTTCGCTCATCAGGACGTCCAGCACTAGAAATCAATCTCAATTTCTTGGCGGAATCCACACCCTTCCGAGGCGGCAGAAAGAAGAGGTAGTCGCTCGGGGCCGTGAGAGGGAACCACCTGTTCAGATCTTGACCAGTGAGAGCATCGACCCAGTGTAGCTCAAGGCCTGAAGAGCACCCGAAAGCTACGCAACGTCTCTGAGGACATATGGCAACCGAGCGAGGAGGGTCATCCTCAGAGCACAAGTTTCGATATAACGCCCTTGGACCAGTTTCTAATGGCATCGAGGTGCCAGATTCGACCCTTTTCAAGCCTGCCGTTCCATCTTGCCTGCTGGATGCGTCGTCCTGGATCGATGCATTAAGCAACGTCCCAGGAATACAGGGCGTTTTGGAAACTCACTGTAGTAGCAGCTCCCTTCTCGGTCAAGGCTGCAATGTCACATACCAACCCCATCCGCCCATCCAAGAGGATAGCGATGGCATACCTCTGAGACGAGGTATCCATGCTACAAGCCAGAACTCTCCTCGGACAGATAATGCTCGTGACAGGCCTCAAAAGACCAGGATACGAGCCATCATCCCTCGCAGACTTGTGAGAACGATTCAATTCGTAGACATAGACCAAACAGCCATGAGCGGCCATCAGGAACCGCCCACAGCTGCTGATATTGAAGATCGTACTCGCGAGATCCGGGCCCGGGTAATGAACCTCAATCTCCGTAAAGTCGACATGGCAAATCTGGCTGAGTGCTGAACCGGACGGGAACATTCGAGGATCCGGGCCGAGGGCGCACTCCCGGGCGATCCGCTTGCTCATCCACCACTCGTCGCTAAATTCTCCAGTGGAGCTGATCGCACTCGGGGCAGCAATGCCTGTGCCATCCGAGTAGCCGGCTCGCTTGAGCATCGTTGTTAATAGTGACTTGTTAAGCGAGCTTATGAGCCAAGAGCGGCATGTATGTCTAGCCGAGTTGAAGTCGCAAGGAGCAAGGAGGTAAAAAATATGCTGGATCACCTCGGTTGGTAGATGGACTTTTTGAGAAAAGGCATTAGCAAAAGTTCCCAGAACCTGAGGGCACACTGGAACGTACCAGCTGGACTTGGCCGAGCCTCGAGAGCCTGCCGCTGGGCACGGAAGTCGGATCTGCTAGCCATGAACTCTAGATGCTCAATGTCCGCGAGGGCGTGGAGATTTTTGTTCGGCGGAAACGTAGGGGCAGGGAAGAGGGGCCGGCATTCGCTGAAGACCTCCGTCAAGGCAGATGCCGGCTGGGACGGGCCACTCAGCATCGTGAACGACCGGCGCAGACTGGCATGGATCCCATCGTCGCTCGCAGATTTTTGTAGAGGATCCCCGTGGAGGATCTCAGACACAGAGCTGCGGACTCGGGAGTGCGGGCAGGGCTCGAGGATATTGTCGTCCAGAATCGCTCGTGGGTCGGCGGGGTTATCGAAGAAAGTGCCGCTACGACTGATGGGCCGCTTATGTATCAGTTCGGAGTCGATCGTGGACTGGTACAAGGGCTTGTTCGAGGTCGAGTCAGAGGGCTCGTAGACGTCGATTTCTTTGCCCTTGCCTTTGCCTTTGCCCTTATAGTCGGCCCCATCAAGAGCAGAGATGTTGTGAGAGGCGGCATCTCCAAGAGTCATGACATGCCGAGTACCAGACTCGAAGAAAGAAGTTACCAGCGTAGGGCTGGTTGGACGGATCTCGGCGTCGCAGTCGCTTTCTCTGCTGGGACCGGCTACTCCTCGGGACAGAAGAATATGCGAGGACATAGCCGCGAACATCAGGTAGGTAGAGGGAGGTAAGGTATGAATGACAATCTCAGGTGTAAAACAATCGATAAGATATACGGAAGCGTAGGTAGGATGAATGATGGACGAAGGCTAACATGACGAAGAACTGGAACATGAGAATTAGGAGTGGTTTCCATTTTGGGAAGGTGCTATAGGTAGGGTATATGTGCTAAAAGCAGAAGAGAGACCGACTACAGAGGAAGGTGCAGCCGTCATCAATTTACACGTTCGCATCGGCATTGTCTCTCCAGATGTGCGTGTCCCCCAGGCTCAGGCTACTTGTGTTACTGTCCTCTCGGAAAATATCAGACTCGGGTGGTATGTCGCCGTTCGAGTGACTGCCCTCGTCACCATCTCTATTGATCCAAAGCTTCTCCAATCTGTACAACATCAGCCACCCTTCAAATATTAGCGGAAGACCAGAGAGAGTACTTACGGTGCCGTCAGATTCGGATTAATGAACTTCAACCCCTCCTCTCTCGCTTCGTCCAACGTCGTGCTCGGTCGACGACCATACCCCGGCGGGCGACTCATGCCCAAATTCTCACCCGGCAGATTCACATCCGCATTGCTCTCCCTCCTGATCGACCTCAACGCAATGAATTTCATCAGCGGCTCGTACGTGCCTGCAAAGTAGTAGCTGTACCATATCGTAAATGGAATCAACGGCACAACCAGAGCTGCAGCTGTGAAAGCGGTCTTCAATGCAATGATACCAGCCATGACGAGCTGGAAGACACCGAGGCCGAGGAGAATGCGGTAACAGATCATCGGCCAGGCACCACCGGTAGCATGTTGTGGGTGGTCCATAGCGTACAGGAGTTGGTATTTGTATGTGTAGTAGCCGAAGATAAAGTAGATGAGGCCGAAGAACAGGACCATGTAGCCCGCTGGCAGGATGCTGTAGACGATGCATAGGACATACACCAGCAGTGCTGAGGGAAGATAGAACCCGTACTTGAAAAGTGGGGGCTGCACCAGCTCTGCGTAGTCTCGTGGAGTCTTTGAGCACATCAGCAAGATTGGGTAGAGCGTCACACTTCCAAACTCCAGCAACCGGAATGGCAACAGGCCGACACCTTGCAGAAGAATGAAGTTTGTGTAGAAGACAGCCAGGGTCTGGACGGAGCTTGCAAGTTTGTACGCCAGCTTCGTAGTATCCTTCAACGAGTCCTGAAGCACCGGCAAGAACTTGGCCGCGGATCCGAACGCAGTGAAGACCAGGAAAACGTTGAAGAAAGTGAAGAAAAAGTTCTTCGAGATGACGGAGAGCTCAACGTCGCCTTGTGAGATCATACCCTGCATATTGGCAAGGTAGTCGTACAAGAAAGGCACTGCTATGTTGAGCAAAGACACAACGAGCGTGGGCAAACCAGTCTGCACCAAAGCCTTGATGATCTGATGCGTTTCTAACAAGTTGGCGAGTCCAGGCCAGACCTGACGGATCGAGCAGAGATCAATCAGGCCAGCGAGTCCCACAACCGGGATCAGCCAGAAGACCGTAAGCACCACAATGAAAATGGTGATCGTCCAAGACCTCCACATCCGACTGTAGCGTGGCAGATAGGTGTTCTGCCAGACGATATCAGTAGGTGCCGGAGCCAGCTTCGCCAAAAGCTGCGTCGGCGATGGGTCCAGCAAAGCCTGCACAGCCATCTGACAAGCCGGAATCGAATCCATTGTGACAAACGCCACAGGTGTAGCCTTGTAGCTCTTCTTCCTCGCCATGGAAATCCTATCATCCATAATCCTGAGCTTCTCCTCATAATAGTCGATTGCATCAATTTTCCTGCTCTGCATCCCCAAGAATCCATACCAGATCCTCGTCGTCGGCCTTGGATTCTCGTACGCAGTAACGTGACTTGTCCCCATTAACGCCTCATCTTCTCTTTGATCCTCGTCCACCTCATCTCCTGCAATGCCGCCATATCTTTGCTCGTCAGGATGGGCTTCCTTCGTCTTGCTCCCGCCAATATGCACCGTCCACGCCTCCTCAAGTTTCCGCAACAGGTAAGCTCTGTCCTCCATCAATTTATCAAGATCCTTCCAGTTCCTGCAAACTGTCACATTCTCCACTTTTCCAATCTCCAGCTTCTCCAGAAATTCCTTGATTTCCTTCTCCTTCCTCAGTTCAGGCGGTATCCCAGACAGCTTGATCGTGCGATCGGTAACCGTCGATTGACTCCCCAAGTAATCCTGCCGGATCTTTATGATCTTCCGCGTCTCCGTCGCCATGAAATAGATAGCCAGGAACGTGAAGAAATACGTAAAAACCAGGTATGCCCACAGATAACTCGTATCCAGCTTCTTCTTGCCGTCCTTGTCCAGCGCACCAACATCCTCCCAGACGCCAGTCTTATCAACCATCTGCATGTACAAGCTCGATGGCCCCTCCGGGCCCTGCGGGTTGCTCGGCGTAGCTAGGTAATCAAAGTGCATGTTGATGGGCGCTAGGATAACGCTCGCCAGCACGAACATGACGCTGAACAGCCGAATCGACATCTTGAAAAAGGCCAGGAACTGCACAATTGATCAGAACCCAGCAATTGCAGCAGCCAACAAAAAAAAAAAAACAAAAAAAAAAAAAAAAAGAAGACAAGACTCACCACGTAAGCGTCCAACCCAGCCGAACTCAGCACCTGCTCCTCCGACACCCGATACAGGACCGGCATCCACTCAAAGAAGCCGTCCGGCAGATCCGGCAGGTTCTGCGCGGCGTCCTTCTGCCGCTTGCGCGCCGCGTACAGGCTCTTCCACCGCGGTCGCAGGAAGCAGAAGCCCAGGAAGGCCGCGGCCCCCAGCGCCAGCGACAGCACCAGCTGCACGTAGATCTGCTTCTGGCCGTTCGCCGGGTCCGTCGGGTCGTACTTGGGACACTCCTTTGCCGCCATGATGGCGCTCGTCGTTGGTGCTTGGTTTCTTGTCGGAGAGGATCCTTGTCGTTGTTATTGATGCACAATCGAGGAGAGAAAGGTGAGCTTGGGAGTTTAAGAGTTGGAGGTGGCCTATGCACGATGACGAGTGGAAGGGGTGGCTGAAGCTTGGCACTTTAGGGTTAACTTTGGGTGCAAGTATAAATGAACAAGAGTAACACAGCACATTACAGTTTTTTGTAGCATAAGCAATTCATCCGTCAATAGTCTGGGGTCACAATCCACGATTCCAGTTCCTTGCAATGTAATTCAAAGCAATGTAATTCGTGCAGCAAAGCAAGTAAAGTTAGCTAGCTAGGTATCTCTGTTCTCAACCCCCTTTCCATCGTACATTTATCATCGCCGTCCATCCATCCGTCCACGCATCAATGTATGTTCTGTCGCATCGAGCAAAAGCGGAAATTCACAGCATACCAGCATGGTACTGTATGCCTTCCTGTCAAGCAGAATTTTCCCGTAAAGCGCCCTTGCTATGCTATCAAATGTGCTCCGTTGCGATTCATCCATCCCTGCCTGCATGCAAATAAAAAAAGAGTGAAGTCCTAGACATCATCGGGAGAGGCCATCAAAGAGCTCCGCTTGCTGACTGGAGAAGAATGTGTAATTATGTCAGTGTGGAGAGTCTATGCAAGACGCTCAAGACACCTGGTAACGTTAGCCAGTCTCTTCACAATCGGGTCAAGGGTTGTGGACATACCATTAACGCCCTGTGTAAGAGAACAACTGGCTTCGGTGTTACGACTGCCCAGACTAACTGTCGTGACATGCTTGACGGTTTTATCCTGCTCGAGATTATTGGCCCAACGGAAGATGACTTCGTCGTCACGGCCATCACCAGCAACCATCAAGAAGTCAACTGGCGAGTCGTGGCCAAGATTCGGTGCCATATCCTTCTTGAGATCAGCGAAGATTTGCATAGCGGCTGTGCCCTTAGACCAGTCCATTGGCTCAACAATAACAGCGCCTGTATCGTCGTCAGTACGAGTCTCTTGAGATACCTCGGTGATGAACAAACGCACCTTCGGTGGGAATAGCCCGAACTCTCTGCTCCTCGCAAGCATCATTGATATGACTGGCGCAGTCACCAGCTTGACGACTGGCACTGTCCTGATCCTCGCAGCTCTTGTAGTGGAAGATGATGCTGCAGTGCCGAGTCTCAACCCACGATCCGGGTGTACGCTCGTGGTAGTACTGCATGATGCCCTTCACAGAGTCCTTCCAAGCACGCATCTGTTCTGGATCGGCCATCTCAACCCACTTGTGCAGGCCGAATTTTTTCAAAAAGCAGCCGTTCTCAGCAATGAGACCGAGGTTGGGAACGCGCTTGAAGAGTCGGTCAAGCTCTTCGGGTTGACGACCGGACATAACGTAGACAGTGTTACGAGCATCCTGGAGAATGTCATTCAGGACGTCAAGCGTACGTTGGGGGCTGGTGAGAATGATGTCGTTGGGCGATCCCCACGAAGCAAGAGTTCCCTCGTAGTCCAAGATGAGAAGTCTGCGTTTAGACTGTTGGTACTGGGCACCTAGCTGGTTGATGGCCAATCGTGGAACCGAAGTAGTATCACGTCGATGTTGCTCGTCGTAGACCTTTTCCAGTCTGGCGAGGAAGGCGGTGTGCCAGTGCTCAGCAGTGTGATGCATGACAGCCTTATACAAATTATCCCACCGGGTCTTCTTCTCGTCGTCGCCCATCTGCAAGGCCTGCTCAATGGCGTCGGCGCATTGTCGATAGTCCCAAGGATTGACCGAGAGCTCGTTACCACCGAAGACCGAAGCACTTCCGGTGAACTCGCTCAAGATGAGAGAGCCATGACGGTTGTGTCCCTTGAACTTTCCATCTTGGCAGAAGAGATACTCGTGAGAAGTGAGGTTCATACCCTCGCGCTGACTAGTGATCATCAGAGCATCAGCTACCGTGAGAAGAGCGAGGTATTGGGGATAGCTAATGTCTTGCTTCAGGTAAACCAGAGGTTGATACGCCAAGTTGGCCCACGACGAGTTGACTCGGGTAACGATGTCCGAGACGGTGGCATCCAGCTCAGCTTGCTCGGTACTCGAGGTCGCAACCTGGATCATAACGACACGATCTCTCCATTCTGGATGCTTGTTCAAGAACAGCTCGTAGGCCAGGAGCTTCTGTCGAACACCACGCACGTGATCCAACTTGTCTCTGGCAACAATCAACTTCTTACCACGATATCGCTCCTGCATGGTTTTGAGCCACTGGGTGACATTTGGTTGGGTGCGGTTCATCTCCAGAGCGACGGGATCGATGCCAATGGCAAGGTTGAAGACATCAACGAAGCGGTCCTCGAGCTGGACCCCATCATTGGTAGCCTCGACGCACAGGAGCCGGCTGCAAGTTTGCAAGAAATGGCGTGCGTACTCATGGATTTGGAAACCGATAAGATTAGCTCCGAGCATACCTTCGAGAAGCTCCTTTCGCACGGCGAGGCATCGGAACACCTCGGACGAGGGAAATGCTACATGGAGGAAGAATCCGATCTTGGCATCTGGGAGCTTCTTGCGAATCATGGACGGCACCAAGAGCAGATGGTAATCATGGACCCAGATGACATCTCCGCGCTTCCAGTTCTTGACGATCTTGTCCGCAAAGGCCTGGTTGACAGCAACGTAGTACACCCAGGAATGGTCCTCATAAGCCTTGCTCTTTGGATTATCCGGGATCTGGTAATGGAAGACAGGCCAGAGGATCTGCTTGCAGTAGTGCGTATAATGTCCGTCAAAATCGCTGTCCTTACAGAACACAGTCAGAGAGTCGTGCTCTGTAGCCAATCGATCCTCAATGTCTTGCTTCTGTCGTGTCTCCTCGAGGGCATCTGTGGGCATTCCCAGAGTTCCGACCCAGGTCTTGTCGTGCAGCTTTCCGTTTCTCACGGCAGCCCGGACAGCATTTCTGAGCCCGCCATTGCCTTGTTCTGCTGGTACAACCGTCCAATCGGCATGGGCAAAGACTCTGTCGATGCTCCCTTTTCTACCAAGCTGTGGTTGTCGGACACTTGCTCGCCCAAGGATCTTTGCCTTCTCCGGGCTCTTATTATGCTTCAAGATATTCGCGGGAGGGGGAGAGCTGGCTCTTGATTGAGGCTGAGTGAAGAGATGTCCGGAGCCCCAGGCTGGCGAGTGTGGGTCGCTGAGGGTAATCAGGGAGCGTGGGATTTCCTGTTTTGGGAAGTGGCTGCGAGGCTCGACGTTCTCGTTGCTGGTGAAGAAGCTCTCGGTGTTTTTATCTCCAACTGGGGTTTCTGGAGGTGTGAGGTCTCGTTGCTCGCCGAAGAGACTCGGCTTGCCAGATGTATCGATCCGGGTAGCTACTCGTTTCGGTGTAGATGAGCTGGCACCCGGGCCACGCGGAGGGTTGGTAGGGAGAGTGAAGTGGATCGTATTAGGGAGAAACCTATTGCGTCTTGTTAGAAGCTTGCACGATAGACCGAGGAGGCTATTGAGAAAGAGTGGAGAGCTATGCCTGGGACCTCCCGCAAGCCCATGAACCCGGTACGAGCTACCCCCGCACTCTGCAGAGAGCTGAGGGAAGGCCTGCAGGCAAGACCATAGCTTCTCTGGGCCAGGAGCTATGGAAAGGAGCTGTAGGTCTGGTTACACTTACAGGGAGACGACAAAGACTGTCATGGTGACGGCTTGGGTGGATCCTCAGGACCAGCTCGCAGTACAGAGAGCAGAAGAGGAACGCCTGGGTTGAAAGATCCCAATGGCGCGATCATGGGCTCTGTACGGAAACGAAGAGGAGTTGACCCAGGAGGACTGTTGACAGAGAGGTGGGATGACGTTGGGTGATGAAGGTGTGCATTCACTTGTGTGGTACGAGACAGCGACGTCTGGATCCGCGGACAGGCTGAGGCGACAACGACAAGTTCCTGTCGTGGTGATGGAGAAACTCTGGGGTATAAAGGTCTTGGAAGGCCCGTGGGCTTTTCGATTTTCGACTTTTAGAGTTCCAGGACTGGTGAGTGGCAGTTCAAGTGGGAGGGTAGGTGGGAAGGATAGAGGAAGAAGAAGGCTAGGATTTCGAAGCGCGCGTCACACACAGATGGTCATCCGCAGTGCTCAGCTCATCTGCGATTTCCTTGCTCAGCGACGACGTGAGGTAACAAGAACCATCCCGCTCATATTTGTTATATTCCCTTATAGGTCAGGCATATACAGAGTACCTACATGCTCTTAGCTGTGCGGCCTGGATTGGGTGCCGCTGTCCAGGGTGGGCGGATGGGCCAGTGGGCCAAAGCACATGTGGCAGAATGAGAAGATAAGATTACAATCCTTTTTTCGAATTTAGCTAGATACTGACAATAGACTTCATCCTTTCCAAGCCTGTTTGTTTATTCCTGCGCTCTTATTGGCAGGACATTCGTCTATGGCCTACTGGCGACTAAAGGTCAAAGGGTTGAATATAGCCACTTAAGGACTTCGCAAGCAAGAACCCTGCCGCTGTCGAAAAGATCTGATAACGAGGCGAGTCGGGATTATTCGGACTGCAAGTATGAAGGATTGGTGAGAAAGTGTCTCTAGCCTCCAGCGAGCCTCTAGCGAATCTCTAGCGAGGGGTGAGAAGAGAGAGGCATATACGGAGGGAATGAAAAGGGTTGTCTGGCCCAAATCCGGTCCAAAGGTAGAGAGGGAAGCTGGAAAGACGGAAAGCTTATTGCTGCCCAAAGTCTACGTCTCGACTTGGCTGACGCTCAGTTGATACGTAGTACTCGGGTTAAAAAGCTATAACGAGAAATCAAAAGTAAAAATAAGTCTCTCCCCTACCAAATAAAGGAGATACCGGTAAATCGCTTGCTTGTATTGACATGCGAAGCGAGCTGCGCGGGAAAGCGAAGTATATCCGTCACGAACCACTCAGCCGCAGGTACCAACTTGCAAGTGGCATCTCTTTCGCCCACTCCTACTGTATCCTCTTTACCTAATGATTATTGCCGCAAATATTGAGCATCAAAAACTCTCCCCTCATCAGCTTCCCCTTGGGCCCCTCTGACACGTCTCCCGGGCTACAGTCGCCATCTCCAGCCACACCTTCACCGCCTTACGGCTCTCTCCCCAAGCTCCCGCCGCGATCGGATCGACCACGAGTCTTGAACGCTACGTCCAGTGCGTACAGACAAGCAAGGATGCAAGTAACGGTAGGCGCGGAAGTCTCCGGACGCCTTACTGTAACGCTCCTGTAATACTAATAATAGACGCACAAGCGGGCCACTCATGCGAGGTTTCTAGAAGGCGTGTCTGCACGACTGGACCGCACGGCTGGACCGCTAAAGGAAGAGGAAGAAGAGGGAGAGGGAGAAGGCAGACGACCATACACCAAAGATAACACCCGATCAAGACACGGATGATGAAGTTCAGCTGTAATCATGCTTCCATCAGCACGCGATATACTCTGTAGATAGGTGGTAGACTGTAACCTCGCACTGCAGCGCCAGGGTCCTGCAGAGATACGGTAGAAAGGCATGCATGCATGCACGCATGCATCCACTTATCCATCGCAAGGGAAAATGAATATACTACGTACGTACGTACTTAGTAAGAGATAAGAGAGGGGGCTTTTCTCTTGCCAGCTACCTAAGGTAACTAGTTAGCTATCCTTGAGCCGATCGTTGCCGGACGAGGAGACACGAACATGACCGCCATACACGAGCCAGGGGGAATCCATCTCCAACTCGAACTGCGTGCTGACGCACACCCATGCAGCGCCCACATATATGTAGGTAGGTATGTGTATGCGGCAGGGTAGAAAATATTCAGCATGTCAGTCGTGTGTATACAAGTATATCAGGTATCCAACCACCCTACCCTACCACATATATACCAATATATCAATTTACCTATAAACTTCAAAGAAGAAACCACACAGGTGATGTAGTGTACTCTGTATAGGTAATCAATCCATCAATCACCCGCTGCTCCCCCGGGACCTTCTGGGCACCAGCACCGCAATACCATCACATCTCACATTTCTGTCTTTCCCCTTCCTCTCTCTCTCTCTCTGTCTCTCTCTTTCTCCCCGGCTTAAGCCTCGCTCGCAATAAACAAACAAGCAAACGAACGCACCGCCCTGCCAGTAGCCAGCCTGCTATTAATCATCCCTCTCCCCGCTCTCTTCACCTCGCACCGATAGAGGGGTAACTCTAGCGGCAGGTCAGATAAGTACGGAGTAGCGGGGTAAGCCCGCTCACATGGGCAACAAACAAACAAACAAACAAACAAACAAATAAACTGCATCCACTCACTCATAGCGGAATCCGAAATGCTGCAGACCAGGAACAAAGTAGCCAATACAAAAAAAGAGAAAAGGAGAGAGACACACATATACATATATACAAACACATATATACATACACATATACACACATGTATACACATACACACACCCACACCTACACCGAGTAAGAAAAAGTGAAGAAGAGCCAACACAATGCAGCGCAGGTGTACATCTCACCATGTTATTGTATCCTTGCGTATAACGCATATATATATGCAGTACGACGTGATCTCGCATCACGCGCGCGCGAGCGAGCGCCACGACACGAAAGCAGAAGTAGAGGCAGAAAGAGAGAGACAAACATCGTGATAGGCATCGAAAAGGGGCTGGTGTCTACGTTTAAGACGCGTGGGCTTCAAGGCTTCGCTGCTCGCTGCTCGCTGTGGGCTGCCTACGGACTAGTACGCGCGCCGCAGCTGCCATGGGTTTGAAAGGTGAGCCCGGCTGGGTGTTGGGCTGTGTGGTGTATATGGCGTCGGGTCTGCTGTAGGTTGTGGGATGTAGCTATCGGATTGGACTGGATTGGATCGGACTGCCTAGGGGGTGTAAATTGAATGAAAGGGAAATGTAACTGGGAAGGAAAGGAAAGGAAAGAAAAGGAAAGAAAAGAAAAGAAAAGAAAAGAAAAGAAAAGAAAAGAAAAGAAAAGAAAAGAAAAGAAAAGGAAAGTAAGGTAGAGTAGAATAGAGAGGTAAAGTCCATACAGCCCCTTCGTACTATCTCCGTCTTCTGGCTTCGTGAAAGTTCTTGAAGAGGACCAGCTGAACGTGCCTTGTTCTTGTTCTTACGGTGCTGGCCGGCAGGCGGGCAGGCAGGCAGGCCTTGGAATGGGGGAATGGGGGATGAGTCAGCCGAAGCTAGCGGCCGGCCCGGCTAGCGGCCGGCCCGCCTTATGTTCCATGACACTCTCGGCCCTCGTGTATCGTACCGTACTGGTAGTTCTTTCCTTCCGCGTCTTTCCTTCTCAAGACCAAGCGTACAGATTGGTAGCTCATACCGGTACAATACCGGTACTACCTCTTCTCAGCCGTAGCATAAGGAAAGACCGACCACCACCTCCGCTGCGAAGCATTGGTTCGACCCCCCTCGAACTGCCACCGCTGCACTTCATGACCGCCCTCTCTACGACCTCGGAACTGCCTCCGCTGCAATTCGCGACGACCCCTCTCTTTCGATAATACGCGGAACTCTTTCTCAAGCTATTCATAGAGGATTCATATTAAGATTGAAAGACTAGGGCTGCAGAGAACAAACCTGCCTCAGAGAAACTTCCTGAACCTGAATGCTTTCTTTCTCACGTGCTCTCGCGACTTTCCAATTAGCCCGATCAGCCCTTTTGTACAATTGTACAAGTAGCACGAGATAACCAACAATGGCTCCACCAGCCCCCGCTTTCACTGCTGCTCAGCAAGAGCTGATCAACCAATCAATTCTGGCTGCAATTGAAAAAGCTTTAGCCTTATACGCTGCCGAGCCAGCCAAGCCTGCTATTGTTCAGCCTCAGCATACCCATATCGCTTCGGCAGCTGACTTGCAACCAATGCCCGAGTACTACCGGTACCTGCCCATCTTGGACCCTTCGGTACCTCTCGTCGAGCATAACAAGGTCAAGTGGCCCCGCTCTCAATTTAGCGACCATCGAGGTGATGTTGAATACGACGCTTGGAAAATGGACATGAAATTGTTCCTTGAGGACTACTCTAGCAATTTCCTTTCTGGTCCATCCCAAGTCAAAGCTTATTTCAAGTGCACTTCTGGAGAGGCGAAATCAATGATCTTCGAGCATATGTTCCCCGATTTCGCCGACACTTGCACTAATGCTGCTGATGTTTTGCGTATACTGGACTACCGTTTTCGCGATCACAACCGCGTGCAAGCTGCCCGCAAGAGTTACTATCAGCTTACCATGGGACGCATATCCTACGATGACTTCCGAGTCAAGTTTACTACGTATGCTATCACCGGCAAGATCTCTCGAGCTCGATGGTTCGAGGACGTTTGCGAAAAGGTTTCCCCAGCTCTCAAAACCCATTTGATGGTCGAGAAGTATAAGATGCACGGAAGCTACGAGCGCCTCGACGAGTACCTGGCTATTATTGACAAAGAGTCTCGCAATATCAAGTCCGAAGAAGCTCAATCGCCAATCATTCAACCACAAGATCAGCGCACCTTCTTCACTCAGCCTTCCGACATTGACGATTCTGACGATAACGATTCCCCACCTCGCTCTGCGTTAGCCGAGCAACCTCAAAACGAGAGCCATAAAGATTAATACGGAGTACCAATTAATTTGACAGGCTTGGTTGCAACTGCGAGGACGCAGTTTTTTCGGAGGGGGGGGGTAGTGTTACGGTGCTGGCAGGCAGGCATTGGAATGGGGAATGGGGGATTAGTCAGCCAAAGCTAGCGGCCGCCCCGCCTTCTGGTACAAGACTTCTCAGCCCTCCTGTATTCTAGTTCTTCCTTCCTCGTCTTTCCTTCTCAATACCAAGCGTACAGATTGGTAGCTAATACAATACTACCTCTTCTCAGCCGTAGCACTTGTCGAAGAGCATGGCTCTTTTCTACTCCGTGAAGAGCGAGAAATGAGGACGCAAACAAGATGATGATCTTGCGTTCCATGTTAGCCGTGAATACGAATACATACACACACACATACACACACAGCTTACTTAAGTTAACTTAACCGATAGCAATGTAGAAGGAGGAGGACGGACTATCCAGAGCAGAGCAGAGCAGAGCAGAGCAAGCCCAAAGCCCAAAGCCCACGTCGAAAAAACCCACACATACAAGCTCTCTCCATCCACAGGCCAAAGTCAGGCTAAAACCAAAACCAACAGTATATGACGAAGATATAAAAGGAAATATATATATAATAGGGGCCGGCGAGCGATTGATCGAGGAGAAAAGATCAAACGCAAAGGAGAAGAAACGCAAAGATTAAGGAAAAGAAAAGGCAAAAGAAAAGTCAAGCAGCAGGTCTCTCACCGACCGAACACGCCGAATTCATCCACTGGATTCGGCACCCGTCGCGAATCGCGATCGAGTCTCACAGCTGTCGCCCTGTCGCCCTGTCCCTCTTTTGTCGCGTTGATGTTAGAAATCAAATTTAACTCAGCGCACCTCGACCTCAACCTAATTCACATCTTATCTGATTTCCACTTTGATGTGCAAAAGCAGACCTGCAATGCACATTGCAGTAACCAGTCTTATAACCCTGTATAGCCAGCCGCACGACACACTTCCATGCACTTGATTTCCATCTTACCTCACCTCATTTTGAGACTCATTCATTCCCTTCTCCCTCTCTTTCTCCTCTCTCTACCTCCCTCTCCCCCTCAACCTCCCTCAACCCAACAACAAAAAGACAGTAAGTAGCAAAGACAGAGAGAAAGAATAGACGGATAGCAAGCGGTAAGTAAGCAAGCAAGCAAACAAGCAAGCAAATAAGCAAGTGATACCCAACTCTCTCGGCCATTAGATAGATACGTGAAAATTTCAAGACTGGCAAAGAAAAGAAAAGAAAAG